GCATTTCTTTTTCCTGTAATCTTATCATGAAAATAATACCTAATCCTATACTCTTTTTAAACAGTTCTCTCCCTCATTGGTTTCAATTATTATCCCCTCTTTTCTTAGGTTTCCCTCAACCCCAATGTCAGTCTCGTTTTACACAGTGGCACTATGCAGTATTTGTCCTTTTGTGACTGAAATATTTCACTCAGCATAGGGTCCTCCAGGGTCACCCATTTTGAATAATATTCCATGAATTCCTTATTTTTCAATGCAGCGTAGTATTCCATTGTGTGAATATACCACAGCTTCTCTATCCATTCATTTGTTTTGGGACACTTGGGTTGTTTCCAGCTCTTTGCTATTGTGAACAAAACCGTAATAAACATGGGCGTGCATATATCTGCTTAGATGTCAGTTATGGTCTCTTTGGGGTAAATTCCCGGTAATGGAATTGCTGGGTCAAATGGTATTTCTATTTGCAACTTTCTGAGAAAGTGCCATACCACCTTCCATAGTGGTTGCACCATTTTTCACTCCCACCAACAGTGAATAAGGGTTCCAGTTTCTCCACAAACTTGCCAGCATTTGATGTTTGCTGTTCTGTTAAATTTTGCTATTCTGACTGGGGTGAGATGATATCTCATAGTTGTTTTGATTTGCATCTCTCTTAGAGCTGGGGATTTTGAACATTTCTTCATGTGTTTGTTTGCCATCTGAATGTCTTCTTTGGCGAAGTGTCTGTTCATATCCTGTGCCCATTTTTCAACTGGATTGTTTACCTTTACATTGTTGTGGTAGCAACGTGCCTTTTGATTTCTGCTGTGAGACTTTTACTCTGTCCAGTGACATTGCTGTGAACTGAAAGCAACTCAATAACACCTAACAACAACAAACTATTCTTTTTTTTTCTGATGTGGGAGCTGGGTCAATGTCATCTTTGAGTAATCATATACAGGCAGACTCCGGAGACAGTGAGTTCAATTCTAGACCGCTACAGTAAAACCAATGCCACAGAAAGTGAGCCAGACATAGGCAGCAGTTTCCTAGTGCATGTGAGGTTATGTTGGTACCTGACTATAGTCTACCCAGTGTGCGATCACATCACGAGAAAGTTAGAAATATGGTGAGAGTTCATTAAATGGGACACAGCAATCCGAAGTTGGCAAAAAATGGCGCCAGTAGACTTGCTCAATTCAGGTTGCTACAAACCCATCTCATGTACTTCAGGCATGTGGCCAGGAGGGGCTAGTCTTTGGGGAGGGACACCAGGCTTGGAAGGGTGGAGGGACAGCACAAGAGAGGAAGACCCTGGATGAGATGGATTGACTCAACGACTGGCAAGTGTCAGAGACAATTGGCTCAGGATAGAGCAGAGTTCAGAGCTATTGTACATAGGGTCGCTATGAGTTGCAGGCAACTTGATGGCTCATAACAACAACAACAACAAGCTTTTTATTAATAAAAAATATAATTGGCGCGCTCTGGTGGCCTAGTGGCAAGAAACTGCACTGCAATCCCAGAGGTGAGCGGTTTGAATCCACCAGATGCTCTGCTGGAGAAAGAGGGGCAATCTCCTCCCATGCCAGTCAGATCCGATTGGACGGTACACACACACACACACACACACACAAATATTTAATAGCTGCAGATTGCAACATGAAGATGAAGAAAATGACGTATGCCCACTACTGCCAGCTTGTGTCCGTCTCACTGTGACCAAGGCCCTAACTCTTTGTGGAAAGAGAGGGTCCAGGTTTATCTTAAGGAGCAGCTGGTAGATTCGAACCGCTGACCTATCAGCCAGCACTGCATGCAACACGTGAGAGTTGCTGAAAACCAGTCATGTCTGTAGATGAATCCACAGTACTTGGCACCCAGTAGGAAAATGACACAGGATGTGAACAGCTAATTTGCAAAGATGGATAGAAAACAGCCTCTAAACACTAGGAAAGATGTTCAAACCCCACAGTTCATTAGAGAAACACAAAGGTCAAGAGTAAGATGTCTTTTTTCCCCACCCTACACTGAGCAGAAAGCCAGAATCTGCGCGCGCGCGCGCGCG